CTATTTAAGTAGTCTACCCACAGGTTTTACACTAGATGTCATACCTATAACCCAACTAGGGAGTTACCCTTTTAAACCTTCTGATCCTAACTGTATTTATAACTTATTATACTAACCCGGGAACTACTATCTGGCCTGTTCTTCTAGATTTTGCACCCTGCCTTAAAACTTTTGTAACTTATCCTAGGTTTGCACTGACTAATTACCAGCTTGCATTCTTCTGTTAAGTAAACCCACAACTATCCATGAGGTAAATCTACTAGAGCTTTCCCTATCTCATTTTGGGCCAACCTGGTTTTGCGCAGTTACCAAGACTCCCACTTGCAGTTGGGCTATTACCTATTTAACTGCTTTTGCTCTTATAAAATTCACTTTCCAATTCTAATATCTACATTTGGACCTTTCCTTTTTCTATTATTTCCTTATTAGTCCATCCTTTACTTCTAACCGATGATCTGGAAGATTCAACCTTGGCTTGGCATTAAGTGCCTGGTGCCCTTATCTCATCTTGGTATATGATTTTCTAGCATATGTCCTTTTTCTTCAGTTTGGTTGGCTGGTCCTCCGGATGCACCTGGTATTTTTCTGTCCGACTAGTTTCCCGCCTGACTTCCATAGCCTCTGGTAGGGAACCTGGCATATACAAATTTATTTGGCATGCTATGTGGCATGCCGTTTTTTAAAATTCGTGCTAGAGTGCCACCCTGGCATGCCACCACCTTGTACAACACAATTTTTATATAATCCTATTGCTTTGTACTTGAAGCCAATAGTATTTATTATAACAATATATTAATTTTTTTATATAAGTATAGGAATAGTTAAGAACAAATAATATACTATATATATTTTGTTATTATTTAACCTAATATTTAATAAAAGTATTTGACTCTTATTAAATAAAAATATTTAACCCTTATTGTATAAAAGTATTGTATAAACCTATATATAATGTATATAATAAGTATATATTGTGAGAAACCAATATGAGGTTGGTTTCAACTTGAGGTCAATTGGTATTTTTTATAATTACTAATCATTGGCAGACTTTAAATACTAATTGACCTCATATTAGAACCAACCTTATGTTGATCTTTTACATATATTAATACCTAATATTTATATATTTTATATATTTTAATAAAGTGGCATGCCATCCCAATTTTTTCAAACAAAGCATGCCACTGACATGCCACCCTGGCATGCCACCTCTGGAATGCCAAGGGTCACTATGCCAGGTTCCCTAGTTCCGTGTTCTTGAAACTACCCTTAAAAAGCTTCCTTCACCAGCTGGTGGTATATTTTATTTTGGTACATTTTAGGGATTATATAAATATTTTATTAATTTCTCGTTTCATAGTTTATTTGATATAATTAAACCTTATATTTAGGAAATTATTGGCAAGTCGGTCCTGAACCACACAAGAAGTGAGATAAATAAAATATACAATATTATATAATAATCAAATGAATTTTTTTAAAAAATAGATTTACAAAATGGGCAAAAATATTAGGTGATATATACAGTATACAGATGGGTCAACAATGTTGGATTATATTAACAGGAGATAAAGTTGTTGGTGATCTTTTGCAAAAGCATATGTATAGTGCGCTAGATATTGGCAGATTAACACAATAATAAATAAAATTTTGACATTATTACTTTTAATATTTGTCTATAATAGGTGGAGGAAAATATTCGTCTCGTCCACCGAATTATTATTTTTATCAAATATTAACAAAAGTAAAGGGTTTGTTAACTACCCATATAATGAGAGATATAAGATGCTTACACCTATTAGTAAGTAATTATACAAATTTTAAATATAACTTAATTTTCTTTTGGTCTCACATATCATTATTATATGTATATAGTGCTCGAGCTCTTAGACCAACGAACTGTAAAAGAAAATTTTCATTTGATAGACTCACAATTTCGTATACTTATGCAAAACCTTTACCGAGCTTCAACGAATATAAAAGATAGTTTATATCCTAAATATTAGTTTCAACTAGCAAGTTTAAACATTATTACTATCTTATGCTTGGCTAAAAGTATAAAAGATGTTGAAGATCCGTTTTATAAAGAGTTTGAAATTTTTATGAAAAATCGGTTAGAGCTTATCAAAGTAACAGGTAGACTATCCGATTTTTTTCCAATATTGAGATGGTTTTCAATAAATAAAAAATATAATCAAGTAATCGAAGACAGGAAAATAGCTAAAGCTCTCTACGGAAGATTAATTGAAGAAGTTAAAAATGATAGCGAAAATAAGCCTTGTTTTGTTAGAAGTTTGCTTCGTAAGGTGGATAAAGTAATGCTAGACGAACTAGACATTATTTATCTCATGAGCGATATTTTTTCAGCAGGAACTGTGAGTATTGTAAGTTTTTTTTTTTCTCACATTATTTTTGTTCTAATTTATTTGTTTTAAAATGTTAGGACACAGTTTCCTCAAGTTTGACATGGATCACAGATGCATTAGCCAACAATCCTCAAGTTCAACACAAGGCGCATCAAGAACTTGATCAAGTAATTGGTCATTTTCGTTTGCCAAGCGCTTCTGATGAACCAAACTTACCTTATATACGTGTAATCATTAAAGAAGGGCAGAGATACTGTGGGCCGGTTTATCTTGGTGTGTCTCATTATATTGAAGAAGATGATCAATATAATGGATATCATATTCCACGATTAACGATATGTTTGATTGAGAAATCTCCTCTACAAGTGTATTATCATCAGATCTATATGCTTTGTACTTAAATTCAACGTAATCACTAATGCCAGTTCTGTAGACTGCGGTACCGTGGCTACATTTTGAAAACCCCGAAACTGTTTTGATGAACGATATTGAACAAAAAATCGAAGTCATGCTTGTTATTTATTTAGATTTCGATTATTTATTCTATATTTTTTATTTTTATTACTATTATTATTATTATTATTTTATTTTATCTATTTATTTATTATTATTTTTATTACTATTATTATTATTATTATTATTTTATTTTATCTATTTATTTATTATTATTATTATTATTTTTTAAGTTTTTATTCGATGCTGGGCGACGAAAATATTCAAGCGATTGAAAGGTGAGCATTTATTTATATACGTGATCGCATACCCGTTTATACATTTATTTTCATGAACTGAATAGTGCGAATAAAGCAAATTAACTTAAAATCACTTATTTTATTAATATACAAAAGAGTATCACTACACGTTGAGGGGCGTGAATGATCCAATTAATAAGGTATACGGTTTGTTGATTTATTTATTTATTTATTTGACTTTTCATTTTATAGTCGTCATATCTACGGTCTAGAATCATTTTTTATTTTTACAAGACGCATCTAAGTGGGAATTCCTATTTTTTATCTTGTATTTTTTTTTTATGATTTATCAATAAGATTCAGGGCGTTTTCGAGCACTCCAATGAATTCAATGAAAATTTTGACTGGCTAATTCGATTAATCTGACCAATCTAATTCGTCATTGAGTCCATTGAGGTAGGTGCCTCAGAACACCCATAGTCGGCTGAAATCTTGTGCAATGTCTCTCTTTTTTTTTTTTTTTTTTAAAAAAAATTTAACTGCGAAAAGGGTGTTTAATTGATGCAAGTCATCATTCTAGTACTGCACTTAAGAGACGCCTTAACTTTATTAGTAGTAACGAATCAACAGAACTAATTAAATCATATTTCACATCAAGTAACTATAAATGACTTGATTTATTATGCGTTTGTTACAATCTCGTAGAAAAATTTTAACGAATACTTGTAAATATTCCTATTAGGGTGGTGCGCATTTCGCCGACAATCACTTTACCGACAGCTTAGTTCACCGACAATTAATTAACCGACAAGTTCATT